GAGAACATCATCCTGAAACCCTGATGAGCTCATGCAGATCAAGTGCTGATGTCAAAGCAAAGGAGGGACAAACTAAACAAAGAAAATCTGAAATTCATGACTGTTCACTCAACCTTTTTTAAAAGTAACATTTCACTCAAACTGCTATGCTTACAGTACATACCTGGAATTTAAAAATGGTATCAAACTAAAAAGAATGCAAATACAGAAGTAATTCAGCGGTGGTGAGACTTTTTTCCCAAAAGTTCAGAACAAAGAGAATTGCCATACTTTATACAACCCTAAATCTAAATCAGATATCTGAATTTGAAACATCCTTCTCAAAACTTCAGACTCTGAGCTAGTGCATGTCACTTGGGAAGCCTCTCAAGTGCATACAAATAAAAAGAATTATGACTGTTACAGAGCACCTATATTTATTAATTCACATTTTAACGGCATGCCAGCATCAAGGCTATAATCATGGCGATCTCAGAATAAATTACACAATACCTTACATATTACAGAGCACCTATCAGAATATTTATTTTCCATTAACTCAAACTAACATAAGAGTTGGCAGAATGGCAAAATAGTATACAATAGTATATATTTTTATTCATTTTAATATCCAGATGGTATGAAAATTCACGCTTTCCAAATCTAAGTGGTCACCTGACTGTAAGATACTCAAGTACAACCAGGGTGTTAACACAGATGGCTGTTATAACTACTCACACTCTGAAATACGCATGCTGATTCAGTCATTTGACATTAAGAGTTTAGAAGAAAAAAAAAAACAATCAGGACACTGTTTGGTCTGTGCCTAAAAATGAAGTTATAAGGAAATGAATAACATTGTCTGACATTCACAGCAAGGGCTATCATCACACATAAAGTCACGTCTAATCTCCTTTGACGTCATTGTCACTGGAGAGGGCACATTCACAGACTCCATTAACAGATGCCTCTTCACTGTGCCAGTCATGCCTCACACCTAACGGACATACTGCTAACACACTCAGGGCATTGCTGGCCTTTGTGTCAAAAGGGTAACAGACACGGACTGCCTCTTGCCATCAGGGCGGATTATTACACGGATGAGAGAAGCAGTTTGTTAACCGCAGCAGGACGACAACCTTCACGCCACGAGCTGTATGACAAACTGCCGATATGTCACTATTGCAAATGCTCACAGTTCACATTCAGAACTTTCTCACATTCATCCATCCTGTCATTCCACAGTTTATACAGCACCAATCTTTAGAGATTTGTTCATTCTCATGCTGCCGTCTAAGTCGTGTCAAAGTGATCATATTTACAGGATGGATACAAACACACACACTCAGTGGGAAAATTTCTAAAAATTGCTAAACTGTCAATTAAATAATTCTAGAGGAAGTTACGTTTTAATTGTAAATGCTGACTATATAAATTTAACAGTTTAGAAAGGAGCTTTACTGACAATACAAGGAGCCTAAGCTTTTTAAGCATTAGCCTCTGTTGCACATGGAGATGACAGTTTAAAAAAGTAATGCAGAAAACAGACTTCCATAGCTATAAATAAACTATTACATACTAGAACTGAGACTTATATGCTAATGGCTAAATCTTTGGTCTTGCCCCAAAAGACAAAGTTTTAGCAAACTGAGGTGTCTAACAAACAGCAATCATGAAAAAAGTAGAGCGTAGTGGTTTCATTTTGTTAACTGTGCTGCTGTAATATACAGTTTTGGGCCAGTTTGATTGTTTTGAAACAAATGGATACTTTTATTCACACGCAACAATGCAATAAACTGATCAAAAGTGACAGTAAATACATTTATAATGTTTTAATATTCACATACACATAATTTATCTATTCATAATAAGAATAAATATTTCATGACCACCAAATCAGATTTCAAAACTTTAAATGGTAGTGCACAATGCCATAAAAAAAAAAATACTGTACATTTACTACAAAGAGAGGGTTCAAGATACAAATACAGAGTTAGAATATGGTTTTCCCGGATCTGGAAGGAGAAGGGAAGGGCTTGACAATTGTAAGCTTTGAGGACACATGGGAGAGGGTGTTAAAAAATGCATTACTCAATTTAGCAGCGGAAACACGCAGTCTTAGTACTGAGTCAGCCTCCTTTGCCTTTTCCGCTCTGTAACTACTAAGTGAGCACCGCCGATTTAGTTTAGGTTGAGTAAATCTCTGTGCCAGGCCCAATGGGATGTTTCAGTCTTCTGAAGCACTGGTTGAATGAAGGGACAGTGGCCGCTAACTGAACCGAGTTTACTTTGAAAACTATATATATACAATCCAATCTACAGAATGAACACTTGAGGAACATAAAAATGATTGTCAATGCAAACTGTCCATAGGCACGCTTACTTATGAACTGAAAAGATGCAGAGATGCACCGATATAAAATTAAGTTAATGTTATGGCCGTATTCTATACTGTTTTTGTCTATTATAGAGCATTATATTCTGCTGTACGAAAAATGGATATTCATTGTGAGATTAACAAATTAGTGTTGTAAAAAATTACTTTAATTGAGTGTTAGATGACAGCACATCTAATCTAAATGTAAAAATAAGAGAAATTAGTATGCACAAATTAAAAAATATCCTAATTTCACCCAAACATCTCTAAAAAGATGTTATGATATTAAATCGAATTTTAAAAATGCTAAAAAGCATAAAATCAAGATGTAAATTTTATAAATATATATATATATACATATATATATATATATATATATATAAATATAGTAGTCAACATTTGAAGTGGATCAAAAGTTGTCCTAAGTAAAGTTAATCAAAGTTGTCCTAAGACAAGAACGCATTTTGGTTTTAGGTTAACTCTGTTGAAAGGTTTTGATCCACTTCAAATGTTGACTACTGTATACCAATATCCCCAAAATACGTCTGAAAATAAGCTTTATCAAAAATCACATCTGAAATATTTTGGGAATACGAGTTAAGATTAAGAACCACTGATCTAGATGCACAACAGAGGAATAATATAGTTTCACCAAGAGTGGAGACATCTCAATAGGTTATATGCATCCATGACCAAAGTAAGGCAGTTAATATGGGGCAGCATGAAAACCCATGCACAACACAACTTTTATAGCTGCTTTCCCTTTCAGGTACTCTGCAAACTTTCAGTCAGAGCAGATGTGTCCTGCTCCAGGTGATACATCAGCCTCATCTTAAAAAACACTGGAGGCCGCAATCCATTAAAAACATCCCTGGAGGCTCTGACCTCAACTACTGGAGAAGCTTCATTTCACAGCCCTCCATATGCATTTCAGATTTAGTCAGGCCTCCCCTTGGTTTACTGTGTTCTCTATCCCTGTTGTTTTTCTTTAAGTGGGCTCTTGATTCTGTTGCGCTGGTAGGGCCACTTGTCATGATACAGAGTGCACCTGTAATGTCCCCCGCGTCCCACAAAACACATAAATCACTTCAAAGAGCGGCTCCCCTAACATTCTCATAAACAGAGTCAGGCTCTGATTTATTTCCCTCTCCACAGACCTCTTTCTGTTCAGCAGTCCTACAACAACAAGCATCTTCCAACATCGTACCTGTGGCCTCATATCCAGCCCAAATGAACTGTCCTGTCAGATTAGTTATATATGTAAAACGGAGGGATTAAAAGACTGAGATTTTGATTTATAATTCAAATATTCAGTTCACATTGCCAACAAGGTAAAATCAACTCCGAAACAATGTCTGATATGCAATGTGTTTATGGTCTTCTAACGAGGTGAAAGAGTGAAACACCCTAAATTATTGCCATTTTCTGCAATCATACTATACATAATTTTCTTATTGAGTATTCTTCTCTTGTTTAAAAAAAAAAAAAGCAAATGCAGACAAGACAAGACAGCTATGTAATTCTGACAGAAGAATATGCTGTATTGTGCATTTAATAAAATGAGTATTTCCAATAAATAAAGATACCTTAAAATATATTTTCTGACCATTCTTTGATTTAAATGTTTCATACTTGGAAAAAAAGATGAAATGGCCTGTTCAGCAAGAAATTCAACAACAACAACAAAAACGATGAAATGGAAGAAGCAACAGATCTTTTCTTCTGTACTGTGATGTACATTTGAGTGTAACAGATTATTAACAAAATAAAAAGTTCTGCAGTTCTGCTCACTGGTTGTTGACTGGATGTTTAGATGTGGGTGTTGCACTTAATAATGGAGGCAGATGAATGCAAGTTTGGGCTTAAGTGGCTTACGATTTGAGAAAATTTCTGAAACGGATTAAAAATGACGAGGTCAGAAAAAAAAAAAAGAGTTCACAATAAGATCAATAAGATGCAGGATAGACAGAGGGAATTTCCATTTCATGCTAACTTGAAAACTTTTTTTGTCAATGTACCTTGACAAAAAATGTATGTAAAAATTTATTTTCTAAATTAATTTTTTTACTCCCAACATATTTTCTTCTTTTTTAAAGTATGAATATATAATTTTGTGGGGTTTATGCTTAAAAAAACAAAGAAAAAAAACAAAGAAAAAAAATAAAGAAATAAAACAAACAATTCAACACATTTTTTTATATTTTAATAAAACTAGACAAAACACTGAACAAGAATAGGATTATTTTGCAGTGTGACACCACAAAATATGCTAGTTGGTCAAACCACATTTGTTTATTCTATGAATGCCACAAACAGAAAACTGCAGACTGTGTGGCTGTCACAGGCATCAACTTATTTCCTGGCTTTCCCTGTTTGAAAGCCCTTCTGCCAAAAGAGACAATAATTATTTGCTTAGCAAACGCCTACTAAACCTGACTGAGTTGTAATGGCTTACTCTTTAAACCCTCTGTGCAGCTGTGGTTTTACTTGGAAGTAGGAGACACTGAGGTAAGCACCTCTTCTTAAGAGTTCAGGTAGCTAAACTAAGAGATCTGTCCCAGAGACAACTGAATTAGCATGGCAACAGTCTTCTCTAGTGCTTAGAGAAGAGATGATGAATCAAAGTCTGTTCTTATTACAGTACCTCCTAGTTCCTTCACATTTAGTATCACATTTTCGAATGGCACTGCCTTGATGCTGAAACCTGTGGAAGAAAACACTCATGTTAAATTTCATAAACTTATGAATTATATTACTTTATAGCAAAAATAAAAAAATCCAAGAATCTAAGTTTCAAATGATATAAGGTTGCATTAATAATGACATGGGACTAAATCTAGACATGTATATGAGTGGTTTCTATGGAAGCCTGTTTCCGCCACTGAATACAAAATTAAAAAGGTAATTGCGACTATTTGTCTCACAATTCAGACTTTTTTTCTCGCAATTTAGACTTTACATCTCGCAATTCTGACTTTCTTTCTCAGAATTGCCTGATACAAACTCGCAATTCAGATTTTTCCTCAGAATTGTGAGATATAAACTCACAATTGTGAGAAATGAAGTCAGAATTGCGAGATATAAACTGGAAATTCTGACTTTTTTCTCAGAATTGCTTGAGATAAACTCGCAATTGTGAGTTATAAAGTCAGAATTGTGAGATATAAACTGGCAATTCTGAGAAATGAAGTCAGAATTGTGACAAACTCGCAATTGCGAGTTAAGTCAAAATTCTGAGTTATAAGCTCGCAATTCTGAGAACAGTCTTTTTTCTCCTCAGAACTGTACTTTATAAGACTTTATAAAGACTTTATAAGTTTTTATATGAGAAAAAAAAGTCAGAATTGCGAGATACAAACTCGCAATTGCGAGAAAAAAATGATTCCATTTTTTTTTCTGACCATAACAACCAGACAAAAAGTTAAACGTGAGTGGATACCGTTTTGCACCCAATTTATTTG